TAAACATCTATTTTGTCACTTTGGCATAACAAGGACCAAATTCCAATATTCAGAGCCTAAGTCCCAATACTCAGAGACTAGGACCTAATATTCAGAATCTAAATCCTGATATCCAAAGTTTAAGTTTTAATGTCTGAAGCCTAAGTTCGAGTATCTAGAGAGTAGGTCTAAATGTCCAAAATCCCAATGTCTAGTCGAAACTCTGATACCTAAAACCTTAGTCTCAATATCCAGAGTCTAAGTTCCAATATCGAAACCCAAATGTCCAAAGCCTATGCCTGAATATCCAAAGCCTGAGCTCCAATACCCAGAGCCCAAATCCTAATATCCAGTCTGAGTTCCAATGTCTAAATACCAAGTCCTAAAATTTAGACCCTAGGTTCCAATGTTCAAAGCCTAAGTTCCACGCGTCGTTAATTTTTCTTTTAAGAAGAATATAAGAGAAACTAAGTGAATTTCAAGAAAGCTGATAAATTCGCAGGTGAATAAACTACCAAAGAAAGGAAAGAACAATGAAGAAACAAAATACTCGGACTGATTCTCTTTCTCCCAAGACTCTACCCTATCTGTATAACGCTGTATACGAAATCTCTCGAGATCTTACACGGCCAGTTGCATAATTCACCAGACGACACGTAAAAGATGTCGGGGTTGGGGTCTCTGCTTGGCCAGAAACGAGAGACTCAGGAATCCTGGGCATTTTTATGGGGCTTCTTTCTCAGAAAGGTTAAAGGAAAGACACGGAGGAGGTGTGCCTTGAGCTTCAAAGTTCCTCGAGCCAGTGTCGTCGTAAAGAACACTGTACACTTTAGTTAAGATTTTTGAAATATTCATGTAACAGTGCCTCGATTTAAAAAAAAGTAAAAAAAGCTGATACTTTAAACTAAAAATTTGCAAAATTTAATTTCGATGATAGTTCAAAGCTTTTAAGAAAATGAAATTCTTATAATTTTTAAATAATTTTTCACAGCTTTGGATGGTAAATAACAAGGTAAAGGTTATAATACGTCAGTCTTTTGCTACTCTGTGCACGGCTCTTGTACAATTTCACGTATACCGCGGGATTTACTCCATAGACCAGCTGAAACCGTGAATATGAAAAATAAGGGAAAGAAAGAAAACGAATTTGAATAAGAACAGACAGCTTCCTTCACGGACATCCTTGGATCCCATTGTGTTGGCCAAGCTTTGACCATCGAAGACGGTTTCTATATTATTTTCTTCCGCCTTACCTTTCTCATGGTAACAATTTCACATCTGAAAACTTTTCCAAGACATTTTTCGTATTCGTTCGAATCTGTTTTGGATTGAATCTTATGCGAAAACTTTTCTCCTAAAACTTTCCCAGTTGACCGTTCTTGAAAACCGTACGATTGATGATAACATAGTGAAAAATGCGAGGAAATTAAACTACAATATCGATAAAATTTGCCTTGCTAGAAATCTTAAATTGCGATCTACGAAAATAATTCTACCTGCAATGGAATTTATCCCCAGAGGTTTCTACCCCTCCACAGAGTAATTTTCACCAGACTACACTCTGACTGCGGCTGAATTCGAAGACGATGCGTTAAGCCGTAAAAAGAAAAGAAACTTGGAGAAATAGTGGTAGTTTCAGGTGATTTAAGGAAAAGGGAAGCAAGACTGACCTCTGAAGTCTAAGGGGAGAAAGGAGAGCAGACAAAGGGATGTCTTCTTCGTTCGAGTGGTCGAGACTGAGTAGCAATAAAAGTCAGTGGGCTTGGGTAATCGAGAGACCTACCCTCGCGATTCAATACGCTCGTTTCGACATTCCAAGTGTTTCTGGTGTTTCGTAAATTTAGAAACGATCAATCAGAATGTAAAAATTTAAATAAATAAATACCGTAATAAATGTCAGCTCCTATATGCAGGAGGACAATTGTAAAAGTGATAAGAGTAAAAGAAGTGGGTCCTGCCACACGGTTTACCCGACGCGACGTTGAAAGAGAAAAAAAAGGAGAAAAAAACATGGGTAGGAAAGTGTGGCACGTCTTAAATAAATCTGTTATGATACGAGCTTTTTTTTGTCAGCTAGGTAAGTTGATACGTAGCCGGCACGGGCCGTAATAACTTGCTACATTTCCTCGGCTAAATTATTTATTATCCTGCAGGATACGAGGTTCCCTTAGGCAACTACCAACGACCTAGGAAGGAAGACATTATACGTCAACAAAGCTCTCAGGACCGTGTATATCGTTTTGCGCCGACCCACGCGAGGAATCTTTTCATTTCATGGCTAAATTAATAAATCTAAGGTGTTATAATACGTAAATTTTAACATTATGTATGGTTGTAGCCATTACTGAAAATTGTTAAAAAGAATTAATCTTTGAACAGCAGAGCCTGGGTTAATCAATGACTCAAACTTATACGCAAAACATATTCAAGGAACATTTTAAAGAAACTGTGTAAGATTTAGAAAATGAAAACATGAAATATAAAATAAAATTAAAATTGAGACTCTCTATAGTTCGAGTCTTAGGGCTCTCTCCATGGTCCGCCGCCCGAGGATTAACATACATATATTAACCTTTCACTTGTGAGTTCATATCTGAGATACAATAAAATTGCTAAACAAACAATAATTTAATTTTCTTTTATAAGATATTTTTAACTTATAAAGTTTATTTACTCCTTATATATTTGCATTTTTAGAATAATATTATTTTTATAAATTAATTGGTTGGATGAATAGAATAATTTAGGTTGTGTCAGACTTCATCCCACATCCCTCCACCCAGTTAAAGGTTAATTTAAAGTATTATTACTAAACATATTAATTAGAATATCATTATTACGCCTGTACATTCCAATTGTTACATTGTAAATTACGAAAATCAAACGCTGTCAAGGTCACCGACTATGTACTTTTAGAATTCCAAGATTAATTACTTTTACCAAGTAATTCTTGCAACAGAACATGTCTTGATATGAATAACAAGTAAATTGTGTACTCACCAAGCCTGGATTGTTGTTATTTTTGTAGTTTAACTTGCTTTTCCACAATTTTTAAGCACATACGCTTCGAAACCACGCACTACTTCAAATCGCAAATGCGTACTGAGCTTCGTAGCTCAGAGGGCGTTGCAACATGGCGGTCGAGTATCAGCGCGCTAAATTTCAAACGAGTTACATGGACATAAGAAACAATTTTCATTATAAATAATTCAAATTCTGAAAACTAAAAAGTTCTATTATTTAAATTGAAGATACTTCACTTTTTAAACACTTTTGTCGAATAATAGTCAATTCTAATACAGTTATATGGATTTCATCATTTTGAAAATAATGAATAATTATTCTTAGTAATTGCAATTCTGTTAATAATTTGATAATTTATATAATTATCTTAAATTACATTTTTCTTCTGAATTCACTCGGATTACATCTGAGATGCCATCACTCGGCGGGAAATAGAAATAATTCAGTTGCCCACAAAATGACAATTGCAGAGTTTATAAATATTTAAGCGTTGTTTTGCATTTTGAATAATATTACTGAATATAGACGTGGGATGAATAAATATTTATTAACAATGTTGAAAAGACTGATCGATCATATTAATGTTATAATCATCTACCGGTAAAACCATATGACTAATTATTATCATATGGAGATATATCTATGTTTGATTCCTTTGTTTATAAAGAAGTAAGTACATAAGTTTGCAATACAGTAATTTGCAATGCTTTATATTTTGAAATATTACTTTAAAATTAGTAAATTTTTTATGTTTGGATTAATTTTTAAACGCGTCGACTGATGGAGACACATGTACCATATGGGCGGGTGGAGACAAAAATTCAAAAAAAAACAAAGAAATCAACTACCTAATTATAAATATAATTTTCTCAAAAATCACCTTACCTTAAATTGCATCCATAAAAACTTCCATAGACATTTCTTATTATTGGTAATCATTACATTAACACGATACGTTTAGCATGTTTCAAATAATTTCCTTTAATTTCATAAACTCAAGAATCTTGTGACGTGCACCTAATCATGTTTTCAGTTAGCTTACATTGTGTTTCATGAAATCTGAAAAATATAATTATGACAAAATTAAGAATAATATTCATGAATTATACCAGCACTTTTTTTTGTAAAATGCGAAATATGGAGTTTTGTGGACCACAAGGTAAAATTGAAATGATGTATGTAACTACTTATAAAATAAAAACTTTCCATAAATCCTCTATTGATGAGATTAAAGTACTTTGACAAATTATAAGTACAGCCATTTGCCATAACTTTACTATAAGCACAACCATTTACTAATTAGATGAATTAATCGAATCGAATTATGGCCTGACAGTGGTATTTCCCTAATTCTTGGATTACCTCTTCGCGAATGCACAAATCGACTTTACAATAACAATTCACTATGTCTATCATATCAGAACACCTGTGAACCATGTTTCCTCGTTGAAGGCGGAAAGGAAAATGCGATATAAAAGTTGACTACCTTATATATCCTCCTCAACAATAAACAATTTATTCTAATTACCAACTGCGTACCAATTACTCATTAAACTTTTAATCCTATTGTACAAAGAATATTTTCATCTAGCTCTATTATATTTACTATATCATAAACTGCCTACCATTTCGAACATTTTGTAAAATACGAACGACAATACTGCACCTTATGATTAACGTAATATTGCAAATTGCTTACGGTAAAAGGAGGAAAACTGCTATTATATGACTTACTGTCCACTCTGTAATATTGTGACAAAGAATTCTTAGTTAGGGGACGTTGTTACGGTACACGTAGAAAATAAGGAACTCTTGAAGGAACACGCGATCTTTTCGCGTCGACGGAGGAAATGAAACAAATGTCTAATTGTAAGAACTCGATCGATTATTACATACTGCCGAACAAGATCTTGTGCAGTGTGCTCGGAGTATCACCAACCGACCAGGAATACTCAACACGTGGTAAAATATTCGCATATTTTCGGTTGATAGTTGCCATGGCGGCAGTCAGCAGCATTGTCTTGCCTCAAATTATGCTTATGGCGATCAGTTGGGACGATCTGAAGGTTCTAACAGGTAACGAAAATTAGTCACCATTAACTTTTATTTTAAATTATAAAAATGATTCTAGTACTTCTGTTGCTACGTGTGATATCTTTAATTGCAATAAAATTAAACTTTCCAGTTCTAATTTCCTGCTTCCTATTTTCAATTTTCCATTTTCCACCTCCCACTACCCACTTCTCATCCCCCAAATTTTCCCAAATTTTTAAGCATTCATTTCAACGTTACTCCAATATACAATCATTCATCATTATATTACCTTAACTCAGCTTCATTATAATTAAAATTATAATTAATTTTCTAATTAAAAAAAAAGTGCTGGGATATCACGGAAATAGCAGAAATTATTCAATATAGAAACTACAGAAATTTTCTTTTGAATCAGAGGTCGGAGGTCTTTTAACGACAATGGCACAGTACGAATTTAAATTACTTTATCTGGCGATAAGAAGAGAAAAAGCATACAAACTGTACAAGGAACTGAGAAGTCTCTGGGACTCGACTGACGACCTTAAAGAAAGACAATCTTACGAAGAATTTGCTTACTGGGGAAGAAAGTTTACTCTAATCTTCTACTCGTTCGGCGCTTGGACAGTGACCATTTATACTATTACAGCAGTAATTGAATGCGTTAAGATACGATTGGCTAACAATGATAATACAACTCGAACTTTACCATTTGAAGTGTGGTAAGCACTTTAATTATTTCAGTAATTTTTGTAGCACGTTTACTTTTATTAAAATATAAAATCTTTTAATTTATATAATTTATAATGCCAATTCAGGTACGGAACGGACGTCACAGAGACACCTTACTTCGAGATCGCCTTCGCCTGTCAACTTCTAGCAGCCCAAATCAATTGTGCCGGAATTTGGGGCATTGAAACCTCATGCATGACCATGATCCTCCACGTATGTGGCCAATTTCGATTGATCAATAAATGGATCAGAAATATTGGCACGGAAATAAATTCGAAGTCAATAGACGATTATTGTAATTGTCCAAAGAACGTGGAAGTAAACTTTATCAAATGTATTCGTCATCATCAACGAATGATAAAGTAAGCATCGTATATTTTTATTTTTCAAACAACGTTTATGATTTTCGTATTTAATTATTCCATAATTTTTATACAGCGCGGTGAATGATGTTAATAATTTATTAACCCCCATCATTTTCATGCAACTACTGACGAGTGGAATTAAGATTTGTTTAAGTGGATTTGCGGTAATTAATAACAACACCAGTGCCGAATTAGTGAAAGCTGTTATTTATTTAATTGGAATGACGACGCAGCTTTTATTGTGGTGTTGTCCAGGTGAAATTTTGATTCAAGAAAGTCAGCAAGTAGGGGAGATAGCTTATCTGAACGTACCATGGTACAAATTACCACCGATCTACAGAAGACAACTTCTCTTAATAATCCTTAGGTCACAGAAGCATTGCAGTATTACGGCAATAACTTTTCAAAGACTGTCATTTCGCACTTTAACAAGCGTAAGTAATTTCGCTCCGCATTTTTATTGCTCTTTAATTTCTTAATAAATTTTCGACTAATGGAAAGGGAGAAAAGTAATGTTATAATTACCATCGCGTTGAAAGGAGTGAATTACTTTAACAATTGAAGAAAAATAAAATGCACCTTGCAGCAGAAGTTTTCTTTTAGGTATTCAATACAGCCGCCTCTTATTTTACTCTGCTGCGACAAATGCAGGAAACACGAATGTCAGTGTAACGATTATTCCAATCTGCAATTTTTGGAAATGATGTATGGGAAGATAGTAGAACAGATATATACAATTTTGTAACAATTACATGTAATAATAAAAATAATAAATTGTAATAAATTATTTTGTTGCTGTAACCAATATTATTGAAGTAAGGATACACAGTGTGAAAATGCTTGTCAATTGATAAAAATTAATAAATAAGATAAATATTCACCTATAGAAATTCGACACAATTCCAACAAAACACTTCTGATAAAAAATAATATTCTCTCAATTTTTTGAAGAATTTTTCTTTCAATATATTCCATGAATTTCTTGGCAATAATAGATGAGATGCAGCAGCCCACGACTGATCTTTTAATATTCACTAATATACCACCAACGCATACACAAATCAACTTTGTCATAATATTATCAGTGTCTACTGTATCTTTCCTACCAGAGCACAGGTCCTTACAGAAGATACAAATGAGACTGTCTGCTGAAAATCGCGTTCCCTATATACCCTTACGAACAACCAATAATTTACTCAGATTACTAGCTACGTCTGGACTAAGCTCATAAATGTTTCAACTGTGTTGAACAAAAGATATTTTCATACAGGTTCGCTGTACTTAAAGTATAAACTATTCGTCAAATAAGAAGGTATCAAAAAATAGACAATCAAAAAGCTGCTCTGTTGGTGGTATTAATATTACAAATTGCTTTTGATGAAAGAAGGGATACATCTTTATGATTTACAATCTACTCTGTAATATTGTTGTAAGAGGGACATTCTTACGGTGAACGCAAAGGAAACAGGAAAAACAAACGCTCTAACAGACACGCGATCAGATTCGCGTGGAGGGACGACATGAGGAACGTAGCAAGGAAGTCGATCGACTATTACATACTGCCGAACAAGATCTTGTGCAGTGTGTTCGGAATTTCAATCGCGGAGACGAAATACACAACTAGAGGAAAAATATTAGCATATTCCCGTCTCATAGTGGCGTTTGCAGCAGTCGGCAGTATGTTTGTGCCTCAAATCATGCTTGTTGCGGTGAACTGGGGTGATCTAAAGATTCTAACAGGTAATACAATCAAATGCCATATGGTATTAATTTAACCCGTTCTATCTTGGTAGGACACATATATTCCAATTTATATTGCATTTTATGCATTTAACCTACCTATTTTGGATTTTTATATCAAAAAAAATATATGGTCAGTCTTGTTTTTGTATTCGATTGGAAAGGAATGAAAATGGACTTGTATTAAATTGTGATGCTTCTTTTGTTATTAAATCAGGAGTAGGATGCGTGATAACAACAATTGCCCAGTATATATTCAAGCTGATTTACGTAGTGGCCAGAAGAGAAAGAGTGAATAGACTGTATAAGGAACTAAGATGTCTTTGGAACACGACTGACGATCCTGAGGAAATGAAGTCTTACGAAGAGTTTGCTTACTGGGGAAGAATATGTACAATATCGTTCTACACGCTTGGCTTATGGACTGTGGTCATGAACACCATTGCAGCAGCCGTTGATTATTTTACAATAAACTCCACAGACAATAACAATGATAAAACCCGACATTTACCATATGAAGTCTGGTAAAATGTCTTTTTTAATATCAAAATCTAATTTTTAGTTCCATTTTTCGATCATAAAGTGCACCTATTTCTATATCATTTTTTTTTAGCATTTTTCTTTCCTATATTTCAAATCATTCATTTATTTTAAAAACGTGGCTCAGCTGCCACTTGGTACCACCCCTAGTTGCACCATTGTTCTTCATTTCCCTTATTAGATGCAAATTACTATAAAAATATAATAATCTTCAGTTTGTAATACTTGATATCAATTTAGGTACGGAACAGATGTCACAGAATCTCCTAAATTCGAGATCGCCTTTCTTTGCCAATTTGTGGCAGCATTGATCTCCAGTGCCGGACTTTGGGCTATTGAGACCTCGTGTATGACAACGCTTCTCCACGTATCAGGTCAATTTAAATTAATTAACACATGGATCAGTAGCATTGGAATCGAAAATGATTGTGAGCCGACAGATCATTCCCGTAATTATTTGCCGAACGTGGAAGCAAACCTGATCAAATGTATTCGTCATCACCAGCGAATGATAAAGTAATGGATCTTCTATCATTTTTCATGAAAATTCTATATTGAGTGTTTGATTAATATTATTACCTTGTACAGTGTAGTAAATGAAGTTAATAATCTATTAACACCCATCATTTTTATGCAAATCCTCACAAGTGGTATTGAGATTTGTTTAAGTGGATTTTCAGTAATTGTTAATGACACGAGAGCTGAATTTGTGAAAGCTGCATTGTATTTAACTCTTATGACGATACAGTTAATGCTCTGGTGTTGTTCTGGTGAAATCTTGATTCAAGAAAATCAGAAAATAGGGGATACTGCGTATTTGAATGTAGCGTGGTACAAATTACCACCGATTTATCGGAGACAGCTTCTCCTTATAATACTAAGGTCACAGAAGTATTGCAGTATCTCAGCATTAACCTTTCAAAGGCTGTCTTTCCACACTTTAACAAATGTTAGTAATTCTCTTTTAATTTTTATAATGCTAATTGCTTATTTTATCAGAAAACTGATACTGTTAACACATTCGTGACACTACAAATTTTTTAAGGTTGACAACCATGAATACAATTCTGAATACTACTAAAATGACACTATAATTTGAAATAATTAACAGACAGAATTATATAAGAAAAAATTAATTTAAATATTTTTAATAATACATTTTATCGTGTACTGTAGTAGACAGAGCAACTTCTACGGTGACTGTCAATGTGATAAATGTATAATAATTGGACATATGAATAAAAGTTCAATAAATTAAAAAATTGGAATTTTGTTCCAGGTCTTCAATACAGCAGCCTCTTATTTTGCTCTATTACGACAAATGCAAGAAACGGGAATATGAGTGTAACGATTATTCCAATCTATGATTTCCGGAAATGATGTTTGGGGAGGTAGTCGAACAGATATGTACAATTTTGTAACAATTACATGTGATAATAAACATAATAAATTGTACTAAATTGTTTTGTTGCTAATACCAATATTATTGAAGTAAGTATATATAATGTGAAAATTATTGTCAATTGATAAAAATGAATAAATAAGATATACATATATTCACCTGTAGGAACTAGACACCATTCAAACGAAGCTTTTCTGATGAACAATCATTTTTTCTCAATTTTTTAAAGAATTTTTCTTTCAATATACTCCATGAATTTATTGGCAATAATAAATAAAATGAAGCAGCCCATGTCTGATATTGTAATACTCTATCACTAATATGCCACGAACGAATGCACAAATCAATTTTGTTATAATATTATCAGCGTCTACTGTATCTCAGAACACAGGTCCTTACAGAAGAAAGAAAAGAAACTGTCTGTTGAAAGTCGAGTACCCTACATACCCTTCCGAACAATAAATAATTTACTCAGATTACTAGCTCTGTATGGACTAAGCTCATAAATGTTTTAACTGTGTCGAACAAAAGATATTTTCATACAGGTTCGCTATACTTAGAGTATAAACCATTCGTCAAAGAAGTTCTCAAAAAATAGACAATGAAAAAGCAGCTCTGATTAGTGGTATTAATATTACAAATTGCTTTTGATGAAAGAAGCAATGGATCTTTATGATTTACAATCCACTCTGTAATATTGTTGTAAGAGGGACATTGTTAGGGGGTACGCAGGAAAAAAAAGAAAAAAGGGACCCTCTAACAGACACGCGATCAGATTCGCGTGGAGGGAGAACATGAGGAAAGTAGCAAGGAAGTCGATCGACTATTACATACTGCCGAACAAGATCTTGTGCAGTGTGGTCGGAATTTCATTTGCGGAGAGGAAATACACAACTAGTGGAAAAATATTCGCATATTCCCATTTAATAGTAGTGATTGCGGCAGCTGGCAGTATGGTTGTGCCTCAAATCATGCTTGTTGCGGTGAACTGGGGCGATCTGAAGATTCTAACAGGTAATATATTCGAATGCCCTGTGGTATTAATTTAACCCTTTCTACTTTGATAGGACACATACATCCAAATTTATATTGCAGTTTATGCATTTAACATACCTAGTTTAGATTTTCATATGAAAAAAAAAATATATGGCCACCCTTGTTTTTGTATTCGACTGGAATGAAACGAAAATGGACTTGTATTAATCTGGCTTTCAGATACAGTTATTTTGGACAGTGTAATTATGATGCTTCTTTTTGTTATTAAATCAGGAGTAGGATGCGTGATAACAACAATTGCACAGTATATATTCAAGCTGATTTACGTAGTGGCCAGAAGAGAAAGAGCGAAAAGACTGTATAAGGAACTAAGAAGTCTTTGGGACTCGGCAGACGATCCTGAGGAAATGAAGTCTTACGAACAGTTTGCTTACTGGGGAAGAATATGTACATTATTGGTCTACACGCTTGGATTATGGACTATAATCATCTTCACCATTACAGCAGCCATTGATTATTTTACAATAGACTATACAGACAATAACAACGTTAAAACCAGATATTTACCATTTGAAGTCTGGTAAAATCTGTTTTTTAATATTAAAATCTAATTTTTAGTTCCATTTTTCGATCTTAAAGTGCACCTATTTCTATATCATTTTTTCCCTTTTCCATTTTTCTTTTCTAAATTTCAAATCATTCATTTATTTTAAAAACGAGACTCAGCTGCCACTTGGTACCACCCCTAGTTGCACCATTGTTCTTCATTCCCATAATTACATGCAAATTACTGTAAAAATATACAAATTTTCAGTTTATAACACTTCATATTAATTTAGGTACGGAACAGATGTCACAGAATCTCCTAAATTCGAGATCGCCTTTTTTTTCCAATTTGTGGCAGCAATGATGTCCTGTACCGGACTTTGGGCTATTGAGACCTCGTGTATGACAACGCTTCTCCACGTATCTGGTCAATTTAAGTTAATTAACACATGGATCAGTAGCATCGGAATCGAAAGCGATTGTGAGTCGACGGATCATTGCCGTAATTATTTGTCGAACGTAGAGGCAAACTTGGTCAAATGTATTCGTCACCACCAGCGAGTGATAAAGTATGCATCTTCTATCATTTTTCATGAAAATCCTTTTCACAATGTTCGATTAATATTATTATTTTCATACAGTGTAGCGGATGAGGTTAATAATCTATTAACACCCATTATTTTTATGCAAATCCTCACAAGTGGTATTGAGATATGTTTAAGTGGATTCGCAGTGATTGTTAATGACAGGAGAGCTGAATTTTTGAAATCTGTCATTTATTTAGCTGCAATCACGGCACAGTTGTGTCTCTGGTGTTATTCTGGTGAAATCCTGATTCAGGAAAGTCAGGAAATAGCGAATATTGCTTATTTGAATGTACCGTGGTACAATTTACCACCGATTTATCGGAGACAGCTTTTACTTATAATACTAAGGTCACAGAAGTATTGCAGTGTCTCCGGATTAACCTTTCAAAGACTGTCTTTTCACACTTTAACAAACGTCAGTAATTGTTTTTTAATTTTAATGTTAACTGTCTATTTTATCAGAAAATTGATACTGTTAACACGTTCGCCGACACCACGAATTTAATCCATTGTCAGTCAAATATTATGTAAGGTTGACAACTATGAATACAATTCTGAATACAGTAAAAGCTGGATATATGCAACAAACATGGGGACCCAGACGTTGCATTTATCCAGCCGAGCTGTCGATTCTGCGTCCGTACACATCGTTTGTATTCAGCCACGATACCTATTCTTGCGACGTGTTGCATGTTGCATGTTGTGTGTTTGATGCATCTTTGGTGTACGGCCTGTCTTATGTTTGGTATCATTTCAATCAGCAAAATCTCACAATTGCGTTAATAAAAGTTTCATTAAGAAAAAATTAAAAATAAAAAAACTTTATTGTTGAATTAGTGTTAGTCACACCGATAAAACGGTTTGAATCGTATTACACGGCTTCCTCATCGAGCGTCTCGGTTCGCTTAGACGGATCCCCCCAAGTGGAGGGAATAGCGATGTTGCATATATCCAATCAATTTTTTGTTGCATATATCCACCTTTTACTGTACTACTAAAACGACACTATAATTTGAAATAGTATGCTGACAGCATAGTATTAAAAAATTAATTTAAATATTTTTCATAATCCATATTATCGTATGCTGTAGTAGATAGAGCAACTTCTACGGTGACGGTCAATGTGTTAAAGGTATAATAATTGGACATTCGAATAGAAGTTCAACAAATTTTAGAATAGGTATTTGGTTTCAGGTATTCAATACAGCAGCCTCTTATTTTACTCTGTTGCGACAAATGCAAGAAACGTGAATCTGAGTGTAACAATTATTCGAATCTATGATTTCCGGAAATTATGTTTTGGAAGGTAGTTGAATAGTCAATACAGATAACCCTCCTATAACACGGTAGATAGCTTCCTAGAAAAAGCCATGTTATATGAGACCCAGAGCCAGTACAAAAAGGGGGGTTACGTACCGAAAACTTATTAAAAACAAACATTTTTTTTTACTTCCATATAAGCAACTTAATTTTTATTAAAAATATAAATGCATGTATAACATAAGACGGAAAGAAAATATATTATTTTTGTTTAATGTAACTTCAATTTAATAAACTTTTTTCTCATCACTACTCAATACAATCATACGAGAACGTTTTTTTGATTGAACGATATCACTTCACTTTCGCAATTTTCTTATCGCGTTAGAGCGAAACCGTGTTATAGGATGCCGTGTTGTAGAAGGGTTACCAGTATACAATTTTGTAACAATTACACGTGATAATAAAAATAATAAATTGTAATAAATTGTTTTCTTGCTAATACCAATATTATTGACGTAAGTATATATAGTGTGAAAATGTTTGTCAATTGATAAAAATTAATAAATAAGGTATACATATATTTACCTGTAATTAGACACCATTCAAACAAAGCTTTTCTGATAAACAATAATTTCTTCCCAATTTTTTGAATAATTTTTCTTTTAATATATTCCATGAATTTCTTGGCAATAATAGATGAGATGAAACAGCTCATGACTGACATTTTAATACTCTATCACTAATATACCACCAACGAATGCACAAATCAACTTTGTTATAATATTATCAATGTCTACTGTATTTCGGAACACAGGTCCTTACAGATGAAAGAAAAGAAACTGTCTGCTGAGAATCGAGTGCCCTATATACCCTTCCGAACAATAAATAATTTACTCAGATTACAAGCTCCGTATCGACTAAGCTCATAAATGTTTCAACTGTGGTGTACAAAAGATATTTTCATACAGGTTCGCTGTACTTAAAGTATAAACTATTCGTCAAATAAGAAGGTATCAAAAAATAGACAATCAAAAAGCTGCTCTGTTGGTGGTATTAATATTACAAATTGCTTTCGATGAAAGAAGGATACAGCATTATGATTCGCAATCCGCTTTGTAATATTGTTGTAAGAGGGACATTGATAGGGTGTACCCAGAAGAAAAAAGAAGAAACGAACCCTCTAACAGGCACGCGATCAGATTCGCGTGGAGGGAGAACATGAGTAAGGTACCGAGAAAGTCGATTGACTATTACATATTGCCGAACAAGATCTTGTGCAGTGTGCTCGGATCTTCACTTGCGGAGGAGAAATATACGACTAGTGGAAAAATATTTGCATATTTTCGTCTCATAGTGGCGATTGCGGCAGCCGGCAGTATTTTTGTGCCTCAAATCATGCTTGTTGCGGTGAACTGGGGTGATCTGAAAGTTCTAACAGGTAATCGAAAACTACATGGTATTAATTTAACCCTTTTGACATTGGTAAGACATATATATCCCAAATTATATTGCATTTTATGTATTTAACACACCTATTTTAGATTTTTATATAAGAAAAATATATGACCACCCTTGTTTTTGTATTCGACTGGAAAGAAAGGAAAGTGGACTTGAATTAATCTAGCTTTCAACTATAGTTATTTTATACAATACAATTATGATGCTTTTTTTGTTATCAAATCAGAAGTCGGATGCGTGATAACATCACTTGGACAGTATATATTCAAGCTGATTTACGTGGCGGCCAGAAGAGACAGAGTGGAAAAACTGTATAAGGAACTAAGAAGTCTTTGGGACTCGACCGATGATCCTGAGGAAATGAAGTCTTACGAACAGTTTGCTTACTGGGGAAGAATATGTACATTAGTGTACTACACGATTGGCACATGTATTACGATCATCTTCACCACTGCAGCAGCCGTTGATTACTTTACAATAGACTACACAGACAATAGCAATGATAAAGGCCGGCATTTACCGTATGAAGTCTGGTAAAATCTGATTTTAATATTAAAATCTAATTTTTATTTTTAGTCCCATTTTCCGATCATAAAGTGCACCTATTTTTATATAATTTTTTCTACTTTTCCCTGTAACCCTTTCCGTTTTTCGTTCTTAAATTTTTAACCATTCATATATTTTCAAAAGGAGTGTCAGTTGCCATTTGGCACCGCCCCTATTTGCACAATTGTTCTTCATTTCCCTTATTAGATGCAAATTATTATAAAAATATAGAAATTTTCAGTTTGTAATAGGTACTTGATATCAATTTAGGTATGGAACAGATGTCACCGAATCTCCTAAATTCGAGATCGCCTTTGTTTGCCAATTTGTGGCGGCAACGATGATCTGTACCGGACTTTGGGGTATTGAGACCACATGTATGACCACGCTTCTCCACGTATCAGGTCAATTTAAATTAATTAACACATGGATCAGTAGCATCGGAATCGAAAGCGATTGTGAGCCAACAGATCATTGCCGTAATTATCTGTCGAACGTAGAAGCAAACTTGGTCAAATGTATTCGTCATCACCAGCGAGTAATAAAGTATGCATCTTTTATCATTTTTCATGCAAATTCTGTTTTAATTTTTTGATTAATATTATTACTTTCATACAGTTTAGCGGATGAGCTTAATAATCTATTAACACCCATTATTTTTATGCAAATCTTCACAAGTGGTATTGAGATTTGTTTAAGTGGATTCGCAGTAATTGTTAATGACACGAGAGCTGAATTCTTCAAGTCTGCATTTTATTTAACTACTATGATGACACAGTTGTTGCTCTGGTGTTATCCTGGTGAAATACTGATTCAGGAAAGTCAAGAAATAGGGGATATTGCTTATTTGAATGTACCGTGGTACAAATTACCACCGATTTATCGGAGACAGCTTCTCCTTATAATATTAAGGTCACAGAAGTGTTGCAGTATTTCAGCATTAACCTTTGAAAGACTGTCTTTTCAGACTATAACAAACGTTAGTAATTGATTTTTAATTTTTATTATGCTAATTGCTTATTTTATCAGAGAACTGATTCTGTTAACACGTTCGCCGACACCACGAATTTAATTCGTTGTCAGTCAAATATTATATAAGGTTGACAACTAAATTCGGGAATTTCCGTTAGACTTTATTAAATTAATAAACTTATTCGTTAATTTAAAAATTAAGAAATTAATACCATTCTGAATACTACTAAAATGACACTACAATTTGAAATAATAAACTGACAGAATTATAATAAAAAATTAATTTAAATGTTTTTTATACTCCATATTATCGTGTACTGTAGTAGATAGAGCAACTTCTACGGTGACGGTCAATGTGTTGAAGTTATAATAATTGGACATTTGAATAAAAGTTCATTAAATTCTAAAATAGGAATTTGGTTTCAGGTATTCAATACAGCAGCCTCTTATTTTGCTCTATTACGACAAATGCAAGCACCATGAATGTCAAAGTAATGATAATGGCAATCGACATGTGCAATTTTGTAGGATTTGTACGCGATGCTTAAAATAATTAATTGTTGCAAATGAAAAAAGTTCAATCGACCTTTTCCTTATTGCTAAATTTATTAAATTTAGAATAGATATACTAACATTTCTTCCATGGGAGATGGTCGTAAACATGAGTAACAACGTGATGCTTGGATTTAATCAGCAATAATTCGGTGCTAGATATTTCAGCCGCGTCTAAAGTAATCCTCAATTACAAAATTCAGTTTGTAGATCAACGTCATACGATGAAATCCCCAAAAGTCATCACGATGATTAGCAATCGCCTGTTAGACACAAAAAGAAATTTAGATTAGCTGTTAATCTTCTAAAGGCGGACCATGGAGAGAGGTCCAATTGTATTTCAAATTATTTTCATTTTCAAAACTTTACACTGTTCCCTTAATAATTATTCATCCAATACATGAAACCCTTACGTTAAAAATTTTAGATTAATATTTTTGTATATAGTTTGTTAGCTTGGGTCACGATTGCCCCAGGGTCTCTTGTTCAATCATCAATGCACCATCACAAAAAACACAAATTAACTTTGCACCTATCACAGTATTTGCCAGATCAAAGCATCAGCGAACACTGTTCTTGGCGAAAAAAACAAAAGACCGAGTCTCCTTTTTTCCCTTCGTGATGCTAAGTATACGTTTAATCCAGCCGGATTATCAGCTGCCTGTTTTTCTATACTCATAAAAGTTGCAACCCAGTAGGGGAAAGGATGTTCTCCTACTACTTCACTATACTTATAGCATAAATCATTCCTGATACCATGTATCAAAAAATAAACGGAAATGTTGCAACTGAGTGATGACATTAATATTGCAAGTTGCTTGTGGCGAAAGGAATACATGACTTCCTGTCCACTGTGTAATATTGTTATAAAGAATTCTCAGTTAGGGGACGTTGTTCCTGAACCAAGAGAAAAAAACGAATTCCCTGACACGCGATTAAGTTCATGTGGAGGGAGAACATGAGAAAACCGGTAAAGAACTCGATCGATTATTACATACTACCAAATAAGATTTTGTGCAGTATGTACGGAATGTGGCCCTCCATTGAAGAATCATCAACATGGAGAACAGTACTCGTATGTTTTCACTTGGTATTCTCTCTAATTATAGTCTGCTTCATTTACGTACCTGAAATTATAATAGTAGCGAGAAACTGGAATGATCTGAAGGCCATGACAGGTAATTTATAGAAATATTGTAATATTAATTCATAGTTTAGTTGGGGCAATGCGAGTGTTTAAAACGATATGCATTGGAGAGGTATTCGTGTGTGGGCTAATGGTTGGGTTGTGTTTAGAATTTCTCTAGAATTTCTTTAGAACCTTCCTAGGTTCCTCTTAGGTTCTCTCTAAATCTATCTGAAGGTTTTCTTTCCTTAGGTTTTCTTTAGATCATCCCTATATCCCTAGGGATTCCTCAGAAATTCTCTACATTCTTTTTTAAATTGTCCTGTATTCTCTTTAAGATCTTCCTAGGTTCCTCTTAGGTTCTTTCTAAGTTTATCTCAAGATTCTCTTTAGGCTTTCCCTAGCTTTTCCTTACATTTATTCTTTTCGAAATTTTTTCTAAGTTCTTGGTCTCTCCCAATATTGAAAAAAAATAGTAGGGCACCCTCCCCATTGCACTTATCCCTAACCAAATATACATCGCTTCGAATACAAAATAATTGTCGTAATAAACGTGATTTTGAATATTTGTGTGACTAGCCATAAATTAGTAAATTTCTATTATGTTAAATTAATTAGTACCTCTCGTATCTCTCGTCTTTTCATATTAAAATATAGTTATGTAGATTTTTTCTACTCGAATTAGGAGCAGGGTGCATCGTATTGTCCCTTACACAATTAGTATTCAAAACGTTTTATCTAATCGCAAAGAAAGAAAAAGCGCATACAGTGTATAATGAATTAAGAAGTCTCT